CCATTTAAAAAATTGGGAAGGGATATGACCAACAATGTACTTAATGCTAATGCTTCAAAAAACTTTGACCCATTAGATACATCTTACTAGTTTTGCTTGCACTTAGATTTGAGTAAGAATCTGGCTTTTCTGTCACTCATGAACTATAGTGAAAACTGATTAATACTTCTGAATGTCATGTTTTCACTTGTAAAGATACAAATCCCTGCTTGCAGAGTCATGCTGAAGATTAAATGAGATAATAACTCTGACCTTGCCTGACACTGAACTTGTATTTAGTTGACAATAAATTGATTTTAATCGCCCAGTGTCAGAAACTCTGTACCTTGGACAACTCCCTTTTATTCATTTCTTATTTTCCATGTCTAAAGTGAGCTTGTGGGGAAGATTATTTCTTAAATTCATCATAACTCTCACATTCTATTTTTTGCTTTCATATAACTTGATTACAAGAAAAATATACATAGAAAAAAGTATTTATTAAAAATATGGAATGGTGGAAATTTCCAATACCCTTCTGGTTAATGGCTCAGTAAGGCAGCTTTTAGCCTTACATAATCATATCATTTATTTAGTCTTGTGTCAATGTCCTAAGCTAACTCTTTCCCTCAGGAGAACACGAGGCCTCAGATGAGAGTAAAGAATTCAGGTTATACCATATTATGGTTTGGGTCTGGATGTGCCCCCAAAGCCTCATTCGGTCAGAGGTAGCTGAATCTGGAATGTGTGCTGCTGGGGATAAGGGTGTGTGATTACTAAACCACTACACATGAGTGAGTAGTTTAGCACCACCCTAATTCCGATAGTCTGGATGGGATAAAAGAGGCAGAAAGACCAGGTGAAAGCCCCTTGTTACCTTTGCTACCTTGCGCGCGCCATGTTGTTTCTCACCTCCAAGGCCTGATTGCCGTCCCTGTCAGCAGACTATGGACTGAAACCTCTACAAATGGTAAGCCAAATTAAACCCTCCCCTTTTAACTTTGGGCATCAGGATGACACTAGAGAAAAGTAACTAACACGTATCAGTTCCTTTTTTCACAGAAAATCCTGAACCTTTTCCCTTTTTTGCCTACTCTTTTTCATTCATCAGTGGGTCTCAGGGACAGGAAACAATGAAGCTTTAGCAGTTTGACTTAAACTTATGCTGCTTATTACTTGGACACACGGTTTTTCTTACTTTGCCTCACTGTTTACTGCAAGGCTGCCCCAACTGGATTAGGTCTCAGCCCCTCTACGAAAGGATCTTTACAATTACCTTTATCTGAAATTACACGAATGGGTTTCATAAGTAATCATTTTCACAATTACGTTATTATATTCAAGACTAGAAATAACAGTATCATTTGGCATCTATCGAACAAGACCTGCTACTTTGCAATGGGAACGGGAACTTTTTGTAGCCACGTTTACATGATTACCATGTCTCGGCATTCTAGTTGTGTTCAATGTTGGAACTTTAATTCTCTACCTCAATAACTAGACTGCAAGTATTCTTATGGTACTTGCTAAGATCTTATGTCTTTTTCAACTTTGTTTCTGCTATTACTGGCATAAAGGATATTATTGCTAGGAATTGTGGTGGGCACTTATAGTGAAACTGATAAATAAGATATGGCTGTGTCTCTAATCAACTCACTTTAACCACGACACAGGCAGGTGAAAAATATTTTATATTTGATGAAGTAAGTACTGTAATAAACACATTAGCATAGTGTTAACATGGAATATAATGTCCAAAATATATAGTAGCTGCTCAAAATAAGAATAGCAAGCCAAACTTAACTCCTGAGTAACATACACATGGAGTAGGTTTTTTTCCACAGGAAAGTCAGTCTCCCTATTTGTTGTGTAACTACTGTCCCCTGTTAGCTACATTGGGCTGCAGAGGCAGCCTACTATGATCTAAATATTTGGGCCTCCCCAAAATTTATGTATTTAAATTTTATCCCCAAGATGATAGCTTGAAGAAGTGGAAGCCTGCTTGGAGGTGGTTACTTCATGATGGCAGAGGCCTTATATATAGGATCAGTGCCCTTATAGAAGAGACTTGAGGGAGCTTGCTTGTTCCTTTTACCATGTGAGGACACAACAAGAAGTTGCTCTCTGAGCAAGTAGCACTCTCCAGACGGTGAACCTGCCTGTGGCTTTGTCTTGGAATCTCGGGACCCAGAACTATTAAAAATAAATCTCTCTTGTTTAGAAGCCACCTAGTCTATTTTGTTTAGAAGCAACAAGAGTAGGCAAGACATAGCTTTTTTTACATTTGACTAAAATTTTTTGAGAATTCTTCTATAAAAGTAAAATCTCAAGGAGACAGATAGATAGATATTGATCATCTAGGCATAAATTATAGGAAATATAACCACATAGGTAGCAAAGATACAAAAAAGAATAGTTAAAACCAGTCTGATGTCAAAACTTGAAAGTTAAACTGTAGATGCCTGCAACCTGAAAAAGGAAAACAAATATACTGAATTTTAAAACACAAGTTTGCCTTTATAACTTAATGGTGAAAATTCAAGTACTGTATTGTGTGAACTTGTGCACGTTACATAACCTAACCCAGTGGAAACATGTGCACATACTGCCATTTGCTTTATCCCCACAGCTTGCTTTGTAATGAAATCATGCTGGCATAAAATATATCAAAGTCTCTTAAAATCTAATGCACTACCTAAATGAATTCTTTAATTTTTATCTGTGTGTCTTCTAAGATGCTAAAACTGAGTCCATACATTAAAATGTAATAGTCTCTTCAGAGGATCTTTATTATAGGAAGGGAAGAACAGCACTAGCATACTGAGCCGATGAGTATAGCACAACTCTAAGTTCTTGGAATCTAATATGACTTTTATCTGGTATGAATATTGCATTGAAAATTTCAAGTATGGCCCTTTTGTTTACATTTCATGAGTGAATACATACTCTCTCCTATAATCGAGGAATTGTCATCACCCTAATACTTCTGATTTCATAGCCTTGCCCAAACAACTACAGAGGAACCCAAATTTAATTTCTCATTCCCTACTCAAGCAAATGGGGAGGCTAGAATAAAACTATATTCCACCACCTCACAGATGAATAGATCTGTTATGAAGTGCAATTTTCCTTAGAAAATAAACTCCAACAAATGGAAAATTGGGGTTACAGTGCATGCATTGAAAAGTAATAGTCACTTAAATATTGAATCCAGCCAAAGGACAATTGGAAAAGATGAAGGGCATTCAAACAAGAAACTAGAAGTCTGGCAAAGGTGAAAGGGGGGCTACTGGAAGCTTTATCAAACAATGATTCCATGTGTAATGGCAAAATAATTTCAGTTCTGTAAGATGTAAGAGGTTTAGAGGGCAAGGGACATTGTGGCACATGGTCTAGACAAGTTATCTGTAGGCTATAGTCCAATGCATGACCTCACAGGAGTAAAATAAAAATGAAGAACAATGGATAGATGGAAATAGACAAAGACATTTCAAAAATCAACAACCAAGCACAGAATGCGCAAGATCAAAACAAATTTTGGCTCTAAATACAGCTATTTAGGGGATTCCAAGTCTTTGAGACCATCTTAGTGTCATAGATACCATTTGCTTATGCAGTCAACATTTATTAAGTGCTCACCATGTGAGCACAGGACTTCATCAGGGAGAGCAGGGAAGAAAATGAATATGATGTCTGCTTACAGAGCTTCAAACTAATGATTTATACATATTTGATTCAATGGAGTATACCATGCTTTGTTACTAAGATTACTAAGTCAAACATTATCAGTTGTTACTTTTGTAGGTTAAAAGACATTCAAGTATTGGTAATTTTAAAATGTTCAGTTTAATATCGTTCTGTAACGTTATGTTTGAGTTTTTGTGGAAGCCTGTTAGGTCCATTTTCTTTGCTTTGAGAATGTTTTATTTCCCCAAACCTGTGTTTTCTTCTTCTTTGATTTAAAAGTGAATCTCTCCCTTTATTATTTCTCTAAGACTTAGTTATCTCCAGTTTAAGTATTGTTTCATGCTATATAAACAGGACCATTGTCACCCTAATGTACCAAGGAATAAATGTGGTATAGTACAGACTTAGAATTAATCACTTGATGGAGATTCCTTATGGTCTACACAGTATACAGAAGTTAGGGAGCTGCTTTATATTCAAAGAAGCACCCTAATTCCTACACAGCTTTGCTACATAAATGAGCTTTTTACTCAGATTCTTTGTTACATTTCATGAGAATTCCATCCTTTATTTGTCTATGACAAAAAGCTCCAGTCTCAACCTGTGGGAATTATATTTCATCCATATCTTATCTACTCCACTGGGTTGCTTCTTCACCCAGCTTCCTCATTCCCTCCACTCCTCCATCACCAAGATGTTTGACTAATATAGTAGTTTTCAAGTGTTGTACCAGATCAGTAGCATAAGTAATAACTGATGTCAAATACAGTCAGGAGGGTAGAGCTCATTGGTAGCACCTGCTACATAGAGCCCACTATCAATAAAAGGGGGTTAAGAAGGAAGGAAGAAGAATTGCAAACAGCCAGATTCCAAGCCAGACATACAAAGTAAGACAATCTGAAGTGGCTCTCTGTCATTCTCTTTATTAAGTCTTTCAGGGAATTCCAGGGTTGCTAAAGTTTGCAAAAAGCTGATTTAAAACCATAGTTCTTAAGATGGATTTAAGAGTGAATCTTGAAATCAGGTGAAGAATATCAATATCCACTAAGTAATATCCCGATCTGTAATAAGTACTGGCACTTGTGTTCTTCCCATGGTGCTCCTGATCTTTTTGATGGGTAGTATAGCCTGTGCCCTGTTGTGTTTTGCTTTGTTTTAAAAGCTGTCCAGGTATTACTAATGAACAGCTAAGGCTCAAAAGTGCTAATCTGCTAAAGTTGATAGTTTTTCACATAGTTTATATCGCTCCTGCTTATAAAGCTAGGCTTTTGACTTTCAGAAGTAGGTTTAGCAGCTATAGAAATGAGTCCTGGATTTTATATAAATTGATTAACTGTTGAGTATATCTTAATTTGCACTTATCCTAAAGTGATATCTGATGCCTGGTGGTGACCATCAAGTAATGTCATCATGGACAGTCGGTCATGAAGAAGCCCAGCTGAAGTACATTATATGTATGTATTTATTTACTAGGTTCATAGAAGTAGAATGTGCAGTTGAGGGTGCAGGATGTGTGGAATTAAAAGTAAGGAGGTATAAAAAATATGAAAAGAACACAAATCTAGCATATATACCATTTTCCAACATGCAACTTCACTTCTCACCTTTTCAGAGACTTGCCACGTGGTACAATTCATGCTGCCCCGTGTTGCTTCCTTTCCTCGGCCTCTCCACACACCTGTATCATTGTAATTCTCCCTTTCCCTCCACTCTCTTGCCATCTCTCTATTGTTGGCTCCCCTCTGTTCTTTCCTTCCTTTTTCACCTTGGAAATCATGAAGTCTTCAGCATAGATTGTGAGTATGGAACATTAATTATTTTATTCTTGACTATTACAGAAAGAGAAAGAGAAATTTTGAGTTTAAAATTGGAAGATGTAGGAAGAACCTAGGAGGGGCCTTAATTCTAGGTGGAAGTAGGGACAATTGAGTACTATATTGTACTTTCTAAAATATCTGCAGCAGATGGAATGTAGAATCCATCACAACATAGAGAATGGAACGATGGGCAAAGGTTGTAGGGGATGAGCTCAGGGCAAGAGATTTCTTTCTCCAATTAACTAAAAAATAATATTGGGACCAGCAATGGAGTGGAAGCTTTTGTGCATGTGCATGCAGTGTGTGTGTGTGTGTGTGTGTGTGTGTGTGTGTATGTGGTGTGATGTTTAGTTTTTGTTTAAAAAGCACTATTCTGTCAAAGTGATAACATTCCTGATGACAACTCAGATAATTCTTTTGTGATTTTTTGGCTCTGCCCTACAGGTGATAGATGGATAATTAATTA